TGCTCATGGATTGGTAGAATCAACATCATTAAAATGTCCATACTACCCAAAGCAATCTATAAATTCAACGCACTTCCCATTAAAATACCAACGGCATACTTCAGAGATCTAGAACGAACTCTCCAAAATTTCATCTGGAATAAAAAAAGACCCCGAATAGCTGCAGCAATCCTGAGAAAGAACAAAGTAGGTGGGATCTCAATACCAGATATCAAGTTGTATTACAAAGCCACTGTTCTCAAAACTGCCTGGTACTGGCACAAGAATAGGCATATAGATCAATGGAATAGAATAGAGAGCCCAGAAATCGGCCCGAACCAATATGCTCAATTAATATTTGACAAAGGAGGCAAGAACATACAATGGAGCCAAGATAGTCTCTTCAATAAATGGTGTTGGGAAAATTGGACAGATATATGCAAGAAAATGAAACTAGACCACTAACTTACACCATACACAAAAATAAACTCAAAATGGATAAAGGACTTAAATGTACGACAGGAAACCATAAAAATTCTAGAAGAATCCAAAGGCAACAAAATCTCAGACATATGCCGAAGCAATTTCTTCACTGATACAGCTCCTAGGGCACTTGAAACTAAAGAGAAAATGAACAAATGGGACTGCCGGGGTCCAACCCCAGCAGGTCCAGGGGTCCCCAAAGGTGTGGATGGAGTCGGCGAAGAAGGAATGACACGGAGACGGAGTTCAGTTGATCAGCAGCCTAGCCAGGATCTCTAGCCAGGATCTCCAGCCAAGTTCTGGTCTGGATCTCCAGAGAGGTTCTGCGTCCATGTTCTCTTGCTAGGTTCTCCAGCCAGGTTCTGTAGCCATGTTCCCTCGCTAGGTTCTCCAGCCAGGTTCAGTCACCAGGTTCTAGTAAGGTTCTCTTGCCAATTTCTGTAGTCAGGTTCAGTCCAGGATCTTTTGCCATGTTCTCTCCAGCGAAGTTCTTCTGTCTGTAGAGAACGTTCTGTGTAGGTTCTGTGCCTAGGTTCCGTCTCTCTTGGTTCTGTCTTCTTAGTTCTGTGTTCTAAGCTCTGTATTCTAAGTTCTGAGTCTTGCTGTCTTGTTACAACTGTATTTATACCAGTTGATTCAATCCTATCAATCTCTATTCCAAAGGTTAGGGCGTTTCTTATCTCCATTCCAGGGAGTAAAGATTATGTAGCTTAAGCATGATTGTTCATAGTTAAAGTGATTAATTACCCACCTGGCACTTAGTTGAGGGGTTTTATTCCCTCCCTAACTTCAGGGGAAAATCCCTACCTGGGGAAACAACCTTTCTCAGAGAGGAGACCTTGGTTAAAACACAGTGCCAAGAAGGTGAGCAAACATATTAAGAACAGTATGCCATATATGCCAGGTCCCTTGAAACAGCAAGCATGGACCGGCTCCCGGCATGGGACTACATCAAAATAAAAAGCTTCTGCACAGCAAAAGAAACCATCAACAAAACAACGAGAAAACCCACTGTGTGGGAAAACATATTTGCCAATGTCATATCTGATAAGGGCCTAATCTCCAAAATTTATAGGGAACTCATACAACTTAACAAAAGGAAGATAAACAATCCAATCAAAAAATGGGCAAAGGACCTAAATAGACACCTTTCAAAAGAGGACATTCAGAAAGCCAAGAGACATATGAAAACATGCTCAAAGTCACTAATCATCCGAGAGATGCAAATCAAAACAACAATGAGGTACCATCTCACACCTGTCAGACTGGCTATCATCAACAAATCAACAAACGACAAGTGCTGGAGAGGATGTGGAGAAAAAGGAACACTTGTGCACTGCTGGTGGGAATGCAGACTGGTGCAGCCACTATGGAAGACAGTATGGAGTTTCCTTAAAAAACTGAAAATGGAACTCCCATTTGACCCTGTGATCCCACTTCTAGGAATATATCCCAAGAAACCAGAAACACCAATCAGAAAGGATATATGCACCCCTATGTTCATAGCAGCACAATTCACCATAGCTAAGATCTGGAAACAGCCTAAGTGCCCATCAGTAGATGAATGGATTAGAAAACTGTGGTACATCTACACGATGGAATACTATGCTGCTCTAAAAAGGAAGGAACTCTTACCATTTGCAACGGCATGGATGGAACTGGAGAGCATTATGCTAAGTGAAATAAGCCAGTCAATGAAGGAAAAATACCACATGATCTCACTCATTCATGGATAATAGAGACCATTATAAACTTTTGAACAATAATAGATACAGAGGCAGAGCTGCCTCAAACAGATTGTCAAACTGCAGCAGGAAGGCGGGGAGGGTTGCGGGGCAGGAGGTAGGGGGGTAAGAGATCAACTAAAGGACTTGTATGCATGCATATAAGCATAACCAGTGGACATAAGACATTGGGGGATAGGGGAGGCTAGGGGACTGTCTAGGGCGGGGGGATAAAATGGACACATATGTAATACCCTTTGTAATACTTTAAGCAATAAAAAAAAAAGATTAAAAAAAAAATCTTATGTCCAGCTTTATAATAATAATAATAATAATAATAATAATAATAGTAGTAGTAGTAATAGTAATAGAACAGCCAAAACTTATGGCAACTCTGTGAATATTTGATATTCTGTCCTAAAACATTTTATAAATGGTGGTTTCTATTCATTCACTTGTGTACCCGTTCACTAGTTCCTTCACTAAGATTTACTGTCTGTCAATTATTAGTTTCAGAAGTGGGGATAAACCAGTGAACAAGTAAAAGCCTCTGTTTTGAAGGAGCTTCCCTTCTAATGAAGAATAAAGGGAGGAAGCACATAAACATCTAACATGTGCTTTTAAATGCTAAGAAGGAAATGAAGCAGGTGAGGGAGAGAGATAAGGGGCGGGGAATGCGCTTTAGGGGACAGTTATGCAGTGATAAGGTGACGCTGGAGAAATCTGAAGGAAGGGAGGGGTGAGCCTTACAGCCCACAGCTGCCTGGAGACAGAATGTGGGGGCAGAGGAAGCAGAGCTGAGCCCCAGAGGCAGAAGTGTGTGTGAGGTGAGTGCAGAGCACCGGAGGGGCCGGGGCCTGGGACCAGTGAAGATGCTGAGGTCTGGTCACAACAGATGGATGGCTTGGGTTTGAGATAAACAGACACACACGTGTCTTCGTAAACAGGCAAGAAACTGTAGCAAAACACCCAGTTACACCACCAATTTAAGTGAGTTAAAGCTTTCCCTGGCCTGAGCTGTGGTTAGAGTATCCACGTGCACACCAAAGGGTTGCAGGATCGATCCCCTGTCCTGGTCAGGCTTTGGGTGGGAGGCAACCAATTGATGTGTCTCTCTCATATCAATTTCTCTCTCTCCCTCCCTCCCTCCCTCTCTCCCCCCCCCCCCACTCCTCTGAAAAAAATCAATGAAAAAGTATCCTCTGGATGAGGATTAACAACAACAAACATTCGAAGTGTGTTTCGCTTACTAAGTCCTCTCGATTCAGAACATCCTGACCTCTTATAGTTATATTAGAGGCCCGGTACATGAAATTCGTGCACGGCGGGATGGGGGGTCCTCTCAGCCCAGCCTGCACCCTCTCCAATCCAGGACCGCTGGCTCCTAACTGCTCACCTGCCTGCCAGCCTGGCTGCCCCTTACTGCCCCCCCCTGCCGGCCTGGTCGCCCCTAACTGCCCCCCTCTGCTGGCCTTGTTGCCCCTAACTGCCCCCCCCACCCCCCACTAGCCTGGTCGCCCCACACAGCCTGCTGCTCAGTCGTTTGGTCATCCCTCACTAACCCCCCTGCTGGCCTGGTCACCCCACTCAGCCTGTTCGGTTGTCTGGTTGTTTCAGATTTGATGGCCCTGGCTCTTTATTTATAGATTTTGGCCGTGCCCCCTGCTAGCCACGTGCTAGGACAGACAAGCCTGTCGTCTGTAAAGTGAGGCAAATAATACTGAACTCCTCTGAGAGTCCACTGACTTCCCAGGTTATAAAGTTATTTAGAGAACAGTCAGATGCGCCGAGTGACTATTCCACCGGAGAGTGGCAGGGGGCTGTGGGTCAGGCCCTGAAGGACCCGGCTGGCCCCTGGGAGCAGCACTTCCCATAGCGATCACCAGTGGTTTCATAGCACTTACCAACTTCCGGGCAAGTGCAGAGTCCATGGCACAACCTCTTCAGATGGCTTCTTGGGGGTCAGAGCCAGAATGACCATTGAATTAGATGTTTTGGAAACACACATTAATGTAGACAGTTTAGCAAATATATAGGTAACCATTCATTCTCTTTCAAGGTATCGTGTGAGTCTACGTTACCCGGTTCCAGCCACCCTATGTCAAGAGAGGCTAGGGAACACGAGAACCAGCCTTGGGCCTCTTTTATGTTGAAAACACTTTTGTCCACAGAGCTGAGGGGGCTGCGACTTGCTTTAGGGCTGTCTCAGTGTGAGTGAAATGTCACCAGCTCTTCAAAGAGAGGAACCACTCGCATTCTTTTTGGCTGAGACTTCTTTTATGTTAGAAATGGAGATGGGAGTAAAGGGTATTTTACTTGATTTTGGTTTGTCGCAAAAGTATATGACAAATGCACTTTAGTAAAATCCGTAATTTCAAATTAGGGAAATTTTTGGGACAACGTGAGCGCTTAGCAGTAATAATGCTGAAATGCAGAGTAGAAATGCATGAAGGATCATTTAAAGTAAAAACAACGGGCTAATTTTGAGTAAACTCATAAAGCAATTCAGTATTTTAACATAACATAGATGAGACGCCGAGAAGCCAGTCCTGTGGAAATCTACTTGTTTGCATTGATTTTGGTAAAGAGCGTTAAAACCCACCCTGTGGTTTGTTCTAAACGACTTTTAACTTGAAGGTTTGAAGTTGGAAAGGCGTCGGGCTTTTGCAGGCTTTTGGTGGAGATGGGAGGTAGGATGTTGTTGAATGGCAAAAATTTTCAAGAGTGTTGAGTCAAAATCATCAAATGTGAATTCTTCTATAAACCAATTCCTCAGCCTCTGCCACCAGTTTGAATGTGTGTTTCAACCTCCAGGTGGCCGTGGCCGACGTGGACAGCGAAGAGAACCGCGGCGCCCTCTTCGCGGAGCTCCTGGAGTCCAGCTGCCGCGAGGTCGAGTTCCAGCACCTGGCGCTGCTCTTGCAGGCCTGGCCGCCCGGGAGCCCGGAGAGCGCGTAAGTGGTCCAGACCCGAGGCTTCTCCCTTCCTTCTGTCTTAAAGAGCCAGTGCCTTCAAAGGAGCCAGTGAGAGAGCAGACAAGATTCGTCTTGCCCCTAAACCCAAATATTTTATTCAGAAGTACCAGACAGCACTTGACGATAGCCTCTGGTTTATGATGTCAGCAAAGTAGTTTTGTGCCAGCTATTCTCTTTCAACCAGGAAATCTTTGACTCTCCGTGGGTGTGGCTCCGATGCTAATTGAGAATCCAGGTTGAGTAAAGGGATCGTTCCCGTTCACTGAGATCACACAGTGTTACGTGCAGTTCTGCACGGGAAGGTGATGGGAGCTCGTTTTGTAGATGCGGAAATTGAAGCTCGGAAGTTAAGTTATATAACTTCAGGCCTCCTGTGGTTGATACGTGAGAGGCAGAGCTCTCACAGCCACTGGCCACCTTCACAGCCCTTCCGGTTTCCAACGCGTCACGCTGGGCTGGCAGCCACCCTCGTGGCTTCCTGGAGCGGCCACCCCGCCCTAGTGCCAGCAGCCACGGAATCCCGTGGAAGGCATGGCCAGTTTCCTCTGCGCACATATGCTGTCTGTCATGACCTGCTGCCCCTCGTCGGCAAAACCCAGAGCGCGTGGGCCTCTGTTCCCGCCGCCAGCCAGCCCGGGACTCGCCAGTGCTCCCACGCGCACAGGTGCAAGGCTTCAGGCGCCCGCATCTGCACCCGCAGCGTGAAGCAGGTTTTCCTGAAAAGCCATCTGTGGGCATGTAGGGCCCCAGAGAACATCTGGAAAAGGCTCTCTAACCCAGGGTGGGCTGTGAGGGATTTCTGCAGAGGGAGTTGTTTTGTTTTGTGGTTTTCAATTACAATTGACATTCAGTATTGTTCTGCGTTAGCTCAGGTGTAGAGCACAGTGTGAGACAGTCATAGACTTTACACAGTGGTCTCCCCGAAGTTCCCAACCCCACCGCCCCCATACACCTTATTGCAGTATTACCCACTGTGTGCCCGGCTGTCCTTACGCCCCGTGGGAAACGGCCTTTCTCGTCTCTGCCGTGTGCCTTGGGGACGGCACGTGGGCTCGGAGCTCCGAGCACGATTCGCACCTCGCGGGTGAGGCCAAGCACGGGCTCTATCAGAGCACCTCCGCCTTCCTCCCGGCCGCGTCGGGACAGCGTTTCCCTCTGGTTCCCAGCTGTCCGGGCGCAGCCGCCTCCGGGCTGGTGCTTGTAGGGACAGGCCGGGCTGGGCTTGCTGAACCCGGGTCTCTGCTGGGCCAGGCGTCTGCTTCTGGACGAGTCCCAGGTGGTGAGGATGGGAAGCAGACATGGGACCACGAGTCAGATTGCCAGCCAGCTTTTCTGTTCAGAAAACCAGTGTTGAGTGCAGATTGCTTCAGCCCTTCAAAGGGCTCTCAGTCAGCCTAAGTACAGAACGTGGCCCCTCTGGGAGGTTAGTGACCTGTGTCATGGTTCCTCTCGCTTTAGAACGAGGCTCTTTCCAGGCCCTCACCCACCCTCAGACACAAAGCGGCTTCACTTAAAACATGTATTGCATGTAAAACATTTAATGTAAAATATCTTAATTTTCAAAGGTGTGTTTTTTATAGTCGCACATGGAAGGAAATGAGTAATTTGCTGACCTGTGTTCTGCATCCTCCGTTACGCAACCCATAGAGTCAGAGCTCACTGCCCATCGGCTCACCCTCCTCCCAGCCCCGGTCCTTTCCAGACAGGCTCTCAGAGCGCTTCCTCCCAGACCATCCGAGTGTGACCTGGCACTTCCAGCACTTCCACTGGAACCGGAACAAAGAAGAGGGTGGGGGAGAGGGAAGGCGGAGGAGGGAGGGGTGTGACAGTGATTGATGTTGCCAGTCAGCTCAATCGAATTAAAAACTCAGAAAAGTGCTCGATCCGATCCATCTGGCTGCTAATTCAGTGCGTCCACCTTCAGCTGTACAGTGTGAGCCCCGGCAGGAGGCTGCCTGGGAAGTGAAAGGGATTTGTACTTAGGGGAAATTCAGTGTCTCAGTGCATCACACCAGCTGGTGGAAGAGCATCTTGGCCACTGTTGTGAGGCAGCTGTGTTGTCCCGCGGGGCTGCCCTTTGTGCAGCGGGCAGCCTGGTGGGCAAACCCATGGCCCCGGTTCAGACTCTGAGAGAGGAAGCAGGGTCTCGTCCGCGCGTGTAGGGAGACTCCCGTCAGCCACACTCCAGGGCCTTGTATGTGCTGTGACGCGAGCAGTAGTCCCTGAGACACAGCTGAGTTTGAGCTGAGACAGAGGCTGCTCGTGTGTGTCTCCACGTTGTCCTTGCACTTGACGTTTTTCTCAGGGGCAAGGAGTAAAATCCGTCAAGACCCCCATTAGGCGCTCCGTGTCTAGAATCCAGAGCTGTGCTGGTGAGACAACAGACAGTCAGTAGTGAAGTTCCTGCCCAGTGTTGTCAGTAAAATCGGTGCCCTGCTCCCGGGCCGTGTCCCTGGACCTGTAAGTCGTGGTGTGTTTATGCAGCACGGGGCGTGGCAGCCAGAGAAGGGGAACAAAAGGCAAACTGTGTGTGTTTATGTCCAGAATAAGAGAACCGGGTGGAGCTCGAAGCGGGATCTCCCTATGGCTTGCGTGTGGCTTCCCCTGTCTGTGCCCCATGCTGATCTCTGCTGTGCCTGCCCTCCTGTCATTAGTCCTGCCCCACCCCAGGGTCAGTCCTGATCATAGTCATGATCACATGATTAAGAAAAGCCCGTTTGGGTAGTGAATATTTCGATGGGCCTGCTATTATGAGTGACACTTCACGGTTGCAAACGATCCTTCATTAGGCAAAGCACCGTCACAGGGCAGACACTAAATTGGGAAAACTCAGGCCCAAAAAGGTCGGTGGCTTCCCCAGAACCATCCGTCCAGGCTTGGGCTGTTAAAGTCACTTCTCCGAGGCCACCAGGCAGTAAGTCAGGTGCCGGGGGCTAGCGATGCCACCGTGAGCGCCTCCTCCGTGAGCTGTCTGTCCCCCTGAAGGACAGCCCGAGGGGCCGTGTCCTCTGGGTCATGAGTGCAGTTCGTCACAAGCATTCCACTTGGAAAGTGGGTTTTTTAGCACAGTTGTCCCAGCTCAATCATTTCCGGGGCCTTGCCTCTTCTCCCGCAGAGCCAGCATCACGGATAACCCTTGGGTGAGGCTGGCTGCGGCCATGCTGGCCAGGTGTACGTCGGAGAGCAGGGAGGCGCTGGGCGAGGAAGTTCTGAAGATGTGCCGCTCCCTGTACAACACCAGGCAGATGCTCCCTGCCCAGGTGAGTGGCTCCCCTGCGGGCGCCTGCCTCTTCCCCGCACTTGCCGCGGGCAGTGTCCGCTGCTGCTCGGGAGGGACATGAGCTCAGGGTGTCGGAAGGTCGAGGGCCCCCGTCAGTAGCAGGTCACACGAGGACACACAGTGCTGAAAGGACGCTGGAGGGCCTTCCTCCCTGCTTCCGTTCACAGTCCCAGGGCAGAGCCCGCTTCCAGTCCCTCTGGACCCTGTGCGTCTCCCTCAGTGTACGTTCCAAGGCGTCATGGCACTCACAGGGTGCCGTGTGGGAGCAGGCCGGCTGGAGCTCGGTGTGAACTCGGCAGTCCTCCAGGTGGGGCAGGTCCCCGCTGCCCGGGCTTTTCCATATTTCCCACAGCATGGTAATGAGATCGCACACCTCCGTGTTTATTCTCTGTAAACACGCTAACACACGCAGCCCCTCCATTTGACCTTCGTTCTCTATGTGACCCCTGGTGTGGCTGTCACAGAGGCGTTAGTGTCATATGTAGACATATATGTATCTGTGCTTTCTAAAATGAGCACATGTTAATGACAGCTCCCCGCAGTGGACCCCACCTCGGCAGTGTGTAGTCTGAGCAGGCTGTGTCTTCAGCAGCATCTGGACAGTGGCACTAAGTTGATTAATTGGGTTTTGAGTTGCTACCACATAGGAGATAAACTTGAAAATAAAATTGTAAATAGAGTTGTCTGAATCTTCATTGTAATCACTCAAGGAAAAGATTCCCATTCTGAATGCACATTTAATGAATTGTTTACAGAATGAGGGACTGGCTAAGTGTTTTTTGATTGGATTTTAAAATATTTATTTAAAGAAGTCTGGCAACCACCAGAATGACAGAATTCTCCTGTGAAATATTTAAAGCACCAGCACCAAAGGTAACTCCCTTTGCTCCCGTGGGGTCGCTACTTGCTTACCTGTGACCGGCCCTGCTATAGTGAGCGCCTAGAGGTGGGGACCACGGCTGTGTCACCTGTCCCGTGGCAGGAGTTTACACCCAGCACAGAGTGGGGTCTCCACACAGCTTATTACGTCCTCCCCCGCCCCGGGGCAGGTACGGTATAAGTAACACAGGGCTCACCTTTGCCATAACATGAGCTGAGGTCAGGCGCGGCTGGATCAGGATCAGATGCCCCAGTGCCTGGAGTCAGTGCTGCCGGTTCGAGGTTGGGAAACCTAGTTTGGGACCCTGTTTCTCTGCTGTGAGGAGTGACAGAGGCTGCTGTTCACTGCCTCCCCCAGAGCCCCTGACTCCCCTCCCCCAAGTCCACAACCTCCTGAGTGTGCGGTGGAGAAAGGCACGGGATTGAACCTCTTTTGTAAGTAGGTCATTATCACTTGTCTCTTCCAATTTGATGAGATGAAAGGTAATTATTATCATAGGCGTTTTGTTGCCACTGTGACTTGCCTTCATTTTCCCTGTGCTGCCTCAGTTCCTGTCTTACAATGGGGTACATTTATGGGTTTTTTTCCAGATGCCAAGATGAAAGGAACTGTGCAAATGTTTGTGCTGTTTTTATTGATCACTAAATGTGCTCAGATGTGATTTAAAATTGTTACAAAGGAAGGAGCATTATTGCAAATGGAAATGTCTTAGGAACTTGACCACGTGCAGCCAAAGTCAGGATGCGGGCAGCCTAAGGCAGCGGGGCGGGGCTTGCCTCTTCCTTCTCTCTTCTTTCCTCCTTTTGTGGTGAGGAGTTGTGTTTGTTGTCTTCTATGAAAGCCTCTCCGAGGCCGGCCGGCCAGTGTGAGGAAGAGCTGAAGACACACAGGTCCATCTGCGGGTCCCAATGCCTTTTGAGTTTTCATGAAGATGAAATATCTTAAGTATCAGGTTTCCAGTTCACCTTGACATTGGGGTTATAGACAGGTTTTTAAACATTTAACTTGCTGATTTCCTTTGTTGCAGTGGAGGATACTGGATATTTGATAGTATTAACAATGGACAATAGTTTTTACTGTTTGTTAAGCTTCTAGTATATGCTGAGCGTTGTATGTTGTTATTAACACCCATTCTCTCTCTCCCTTTCTCTCTCTCTCTCTCTCTCACACACACACACACACACACACACACACACACTGCAAAGTAGACACATTACCTCATTGTCCTTATGAGGAAACGAGGGCTCTGAGAATTCAGGGAAGTAAGTGACAGTCCCACGTCCACCCGGTGGGACACTGTGCAGCCATGAAAGCGATGCCGTGGGGGAAGATCGGGGGCTCAGACGGCTGCTGACAGTGTCTGTGCAGGGGGCGAGCAGGTCCCAGCACGGAGTCAGCGTGTCCCCTGTGCTTGCAGTGCGTGGAGGAGCTGAGTGCGCTGCTGCGGAGCCGGGCCCTGCTGCTGCCGTCCCTCAAGCTGCTGCTGGAGAGCCCGGATGCCCGCCTTCACGCCGTGGCCCTGGAGCACGTGTCCGCCGTCGCCGAGGTACGCCCGCCGGCTTGGCATTACTCTGCTTCCAGGACATGAGTCGGTGCGGCCAGCACTGACCGGGATTCGCCACGATTGCTCTGTCCATGGTATTCCCTGACCACAGCCGCTCACTCTTTCTGTTTGTCTAGGAAGCAGGTATTCGTCTACTAGTGTTTTACAAACATTTACAAACCAGCCTCTGTGTTTAGGTGCGGAGACTGTAAATCCAAACAGCGAAGCTGTTTCTCTTAAGAAGCCCTGTTGGCCCTTCAGGAAATGTCCTGGGCACGGGACACTCAGGTTGGGGGCTCCTGGCCTCCGGTCGGTTTTCCGTCCGCGTGTGTGTGTCTCCTAATTAAGGTAGGAGAGCGGCCACCGTCATGTTCACTGGCACCATCTGACTCGCAGCCCCCTGTCCTCTGGCAGCCTGGCCGTCTGGGCTGAGGAGGGGTGGACTGCAGCCAGGGCCTGCACCCTCTCCCTCGAGGCTGCTGTCTTGTGATTAAGGAAGAAACTTTCACCTCCCTTTTTACATTTTACACTTTAGAACTAGGTAGCTCAGGGCTGCGTTTTAACGAATTCACGTGGTGTGATTCCTACTGAAACACTCTGTAGGGAGATCATTCCTTCATGTGAGTGATCAGTTTGAAGTACTGTATGTGACTGTGTGTCACGTGTCTGGGTGAGTGAGTGTTATGTGTGTCCGTGTGATTGCGTGCTTTTTCTAACAAGTGTCGGAGGACAGAGAAGGGAGGAGAAGCCTGGAGCTGGGGTGCACACCCCCCCAAACCGTGGGTGAGTCAGTGGGTGAGTGGTGAGTGAGGGCAGAGGCCCAGGACACCATGTGCATGACTGTAGGCCTTGCAAACACTGCTTAGGGCACACTGTTTATAAAACAGCGCGAGAGGAAATGGGACAGCCGAGAGGCGTGGGAACGAGGTGCGTGAGGCTGCTGCCCGCATAACGGGGCACACTGTTTATAAAACAGCGCGAGAGGAAATGGTACAGCCGAGAGGCGTGGGAACGAGGTGCGTGAGGCTGCTGCCCGCACAACGGGGCACACTGTTTATAAAACAGCACGAGAGGAAATGGGACAGCCGAGAGGCGTGGAAACGAGGTGCGTGAGGCTGCTGCCCGCACAACGGGGCACACTGTTTATAAAACAGCGCGAGAGGAAATGGGACAGCCGAGAGGCGTGGAAACGAGGTGCGTGAGGCTGCTGCCCGCACAACGGGGCACACTGTTTATAAAACAGCGCGAGAGGAAATGGGACAGCCGAGAGGCGTGGGAACGAGGTGCGTGAGGCTGCTGCCCGCATAACGGGGCACACTGTTTATAAAACAGCGCGAGAGGAAATGGGACAGCCGAGAGGCGTGGAAACGAGGTGCGTGAGGCTGCTGCCCGCACAACGGGGCACACTGTTTATAAAACAGCGCGAGGGGAAATGGTACAGCCGAGAGGCGTGGGAACGAGGTGCGTGAGGCTGCTGCCCGCATAACGGGGCACACTGTTTATAAAACAGCGCGAGGGGAAATGGTACCGCCGAGAGGCGTGGAAACGAGGTGCGCAGTACAGCCGAGAGGGTGGAACGAGGTGCGTGAGGCTGCTGCCCGCACAACGGGGCACACTGTTTATAAAACAGCACGAGAGGAAATGGGACAGCCGAGAGGCGTGGGAACGAGGTGCGTGAGGCTGCTGCCCGCATAACGGGGCACACTGTTTATAAAACAGCACGAGAGGAAATGGGACAGCCGAGAGGCGTGGGAACGAGGTGCGTGAGGCTGCTGCCCGCACAACGGGGCACACTGTTTATAAAACAGCGCGAGAGGAAATGGGACAGCCGAGAGGCGTGGGAACGAGGTGCGTGAGGCTGCTGCCCGCATAACGGGGCACACTGTTTATAGCAAACTTTTTTTGTAATAAGTAGAAACTACACTCTACAATAATGATGAAAAGTATAGCATAAGACCGTGATTTTCAACCTTTTTCATCTCCTGGCACATAGAAACGAATTACTAAAATTTCGGCAGCACACGGGTTGAAAACCGCTGGTTTAGGAAATACATAAACCAGTAACATAGCCGTGTGTTATCATTATCGAGAATTACCTACTGTGCGTAAATGTGCCGGCCTCAGGTGCACTTCGGGTGTTGGGAAAGGTGAAATACAACACCCATCCTGCGTGTCGAGGGATTATCTCGGGAGGATTGACATAGGGCCTCAAGGGATTAGGCGAAGTAGGAAGGTGACAGGACAGAGTGTGGGGCCGGCCACACTCAGGCCCTGAAGTGGCAGATCTGGTTACAGTCACAGCCCTCCTGTCGTTGGGCTGGAAGCCAGAGGATTGGTCCCAGTTTGGGTTTCAGAAAAGAAATATTATTAAGTCCCACGCCAGGAAGGGGACTGACTATCATTCAAATAAATAGAAATTACTAAAACTACCCACAGGCATTTTTCTTATTCCAGCTATACACTTAGGTGGCCCTTGTGTTTTTCTGCCTCTATTGTTGCTATACTTAACAGCTTTATTAGTAATAGCAAACCTAACAGGACAAATAGCCTTCCCTAAAGTAAACAGTGAAATAAGTTTAAATGATCTTTGAAGTCTTTGAAATGAGGTCCTGGAACCTGAGCTTACCTCATTACTGTAATGACTCTTAGCTTCTTAGAGATCCATAAACTCAAAGACTTTAATTCAGAGAAAGTTCATTACCTTTTGTTGAAACAGGAATTAAGCGGATACCATTTTAATGGCTTGGAAGACAGTAGTGCTTTGTGCTTTAATAGATTTCTTTCCCAAGATCTGCAAAGTTTCATTTATTCTCAAAAATGAATCTCGACACACACGAAAAATCACCGATGGAGACAGGTGGCAAGCGTTCTGCTCACTTTATGATCTCTATAAGCCCCCTCCTCTTCTCGAAGTGCTTGATTTTGGGTTGGTTTGACTGTTTTAACTTGACCATGTATTGAGCTTGACCTCTGTAAGCACTGGGCCGGGCACTTGGAAAGCACAGGTGATCTCAGCCCCGATAGGCGGGCTGCATTTCAGGTGTGGGAACTGGAGCCCAGAGAGGTTGTCCCTGACAAGGTCACACAGCAGAGCAACCCGGATCGGAAATGGGTCTCTAACCTGAAAGCCCGTCTTTTCACCAGACCACACGCCTCTCACTCGAATTCAGTTATTTGATCAGTGGTGGGAACTGCTGCTGAGACAGGACAATAAGATAAAACCTCAGCCCGGCCAGGAGACAGACAGGTTTCCAGGACAGACACGAAGAGGCAGACAGTCGGTGCCCTGGAGGATGGGGAAGGCGGGAGCGGCTTAGCCAGGGATTTAGAGGAAATGCCACCGCGAAGGTTCCCTGGAGCTGACATTTGCGCTGGGTTTTGACGGGTCACCAGGTGACTTACAGGAAGATGGGCAGCGACTCACTCTCAGAACTTCCTTTGTTCTAATTCTCACGTGCAGTGGGCACCGCTGACCTCCGCGTCTCAGGAGCCAGCAGGACGGGCACACTGTGCCCAGGAGGGTACGGCGGCTCTACCGTCACTTGATTGGCTTTGAAAGGCCACATGTGTCCGAGGTCCCTACAGCAGTGCCCCTGAGGGTGCAGTGACAGTAAGAAAGCCTGTCGTGGCTGTTATGACACCACATGTCAGGGAGCCTGAGTCTCAGCGTGCGTTAGTATTGACGTGATTCCTGCAGTAATATGGACAGCAATCGAAAATAGGAAAAGGTAAGCTGAGTGTCAGAGCCATGGGAGACCGTTCACAGACTGAGAAGATAGCCAGGGCCGGGGGACCGCACAGAGCGCAGTGAAAGGGCCGTGAAACATTTGGGGAAGGTAAGTTGATGCTGAGCTTTCCGCTGCCCACGTGAGAACGAGTTCTGAACACCTCCCGACACCGTCCTGTTTATGACACGGGGTTGAAGGTGTATTTTCTCAGCGGAGGAGAGAGGTTTCTTCTGGAAGGAACTTCTCTGTGGGCCTGTTCGGGGGGGTAGACCCAGTCGATGGGGTTAGAGAATGGCGACGGGGGAGGCCCTCAGGGAACTGGGGAGTGGCTGTGGGACGCTGGCAGGGAGTCAGGACGACGTCACTCAGGTCCTGGCTCCGGGACTCACCTGGCGCTGAGCAGAGCCCTTACACTCCGTCTCCCAGCCTGTGACACTGGCAATGACAGAGCAGAGGCTCGTGCCCTCCACGCGCCCTGGGAGCAGGACTGTCCCCAGGAGAGAGGGGTGCTAAGGGCTAATGCGAGAGGGCGGGCCTCCTGGGAGGGTGATCAGGCCAGCCTCACTCCCGCCTGTCTTATTTCTTAAAGGTGAATGACTCCAACTGTGACCAGGAACTTCTCTCCCTGCTCCTGGACGCCAAGCTGCTGGTGCCCTGCCTCTCCACTCCCTTCTACCCGCGCATCGTCCAGCACCTCCTGGCCAGCCCTCAGCCAGGGCGCTGGGACGCCGAGGGGCTGGCCCGGGACCTGCGGGAGGCTGGCCACGAGGCCGAAGCGGGGTCGCTCCTGCTGGCCGCCAGGGGCACGCATCGGGCCTTGAGGACTTTCAGCACAGCCCTGGGCGCGAGCCGGCACTGGGTGTGACGCGGCCCAGGCCCACGCAGTCAGTCTCCAGTTTCCCTCCCAGCGGACCCGAGCACCCAGAGCCAGTGCTGGCCCGGAGGCAGCACCTGCCCCTGCTAATGGTTCTGGGGGTCCCGCAAGTAGGAAATAAAGATCCATGCTGAGCAGCCTGCCACTTGTACAGACGTTCTTGTTGACCAAGAGACTCACTCCTATTCCTGCTGTTGGAACTGCCTTTCTGAACAGAATTCAGGTGAAGCCTCCAGGGCCACGTCCTGACGGCTGCCTGTGGGCAGGTGGCGTGAGAAAGGGAGGGAGGTGGAGAGGCTGGTGGTGGAGCAGGTGCTGGGACGCAGGCGGTGGGTGGGCCTGATGCAGGTCTCAGCGTAGGGAGGCGACTCTGGGCCCCGTGCCCACCTCTCTGGACCTTCCTCTGTCCCGTAGAAAACAGGGCATGTTCTCTATCTTCCAGGGTTGCCAAGGACGAGGGGAGGGGGTGTCGGAGGCTCTGTCTGTCAGGTACGTAGCAGGCACCCCTCCCCCCGTAGAGTGACAGGTTGTGAGTGGTGACTTTCAGGCCATAGCTGGATGGTCAGTACCAGCACTGAGGGCCGGCACTCAGGCATCTTCACACTTAGCATCGCAAGAAGGCTGGCAAGTCTGCACGTGTGTGAAAGCTCTGCAGCCAGCGGGCGGGCTGACAGCCACATGCACACTTGTCACGGGCAGGAGAGGCATGTGGGGCCACTGATGACACATGGCAATCACGGCGAGGGTGTGCATAGCAAACATTGAGGGGTGTGACCCCAAAGCCCGGCTGTGGGAGCCTGTGCTGGAGGTGGAGGCTCAGCTGGAAGCACTGGGCCTACTCCCCCCAGGGCCTCACATCACATCCAAACCCACAGCAGCCCGGGCAGCAGCTGGGAGGAGAGCAGGCGCAGTGACGATGGGCACCAGGCCCCTCGGGAGCTCCCTATGAGACCCTCCGGTGAGCCACGCTCCGCCCTGGCCCTGGTCCTCATGCGTAAGTGGGGCAGCCCCGTCCGCTCTGTGCCCCACTGGAACCCCACTCTGCCAAGGGAATGCACTCTCTATTGGTGGTCCCGGGCTTCAGCTAAAGAAAGTCCCCCCAAATATACACCCCAAGCTTCAAACACGTTAACTCATTCAATCCTCGTGATAACCTTAGAGCAGTGGTTCTCAACCTTCCTAACGCCGCGACCCTTCAATACAGTTCCTCATGTTGTGGTGACCCCCCAACCATAAAATTATTTTCATTGCTACTTCGTAACTGTAATTTTGCTACTGTGATGAATCGTAATATAAATATCTGATATGCAGGATGTATTTTCATTGTGACAAATTGAACATAATTAAAGCATAGTGATTAATCACAAAAACAATATGTAATTATATGTGTTTTCCGATGGTCTTAGGCGACCCCTGTGAAAGGGTCATTCGACCCCCAAAGGGGTCTCGACCCACAGGCTGAGAACCGCTGCCTTAGAGGGACAGCAGGCAGAGAGAGAAGTAAGCTACAGGGACACAGAGCCAGCGGGCCGCGATCCCCAGTGCGAGTCAGGCAGCCTGGCCGGGAGCCTCACCACTGGCCACGTGCGGCTCCGCGGGGCCCTCTGCCGAGAAACCGGGATGAACTTCCTGGAGACACTGCAGTATTTCCCATCCCGCCCGTCCTGCATGAACAGATAGCTTCATGGCAGAAGGGGGCGGCTCTGAAATGCCCTTTGACCCTTGCAGACCGTGGGCTCCTCGATGTGCCAGCCTTCACAGCGGCGGGCACTGCCGTGTCTCTGTTCACGAGCCTCGTCCTGACCTGCCCCCCCCCCCGCCCTGCAGGAAACCCAGGCACCTGAATTCCAGCTTCCCCCCAGGTGCAAGGGACTTGGCCACCGTCAACACTCCCTGTAGACAGTTCCTGTCGTGGCGCTGCCTGGCTCGCTAACACGAGGTCGCGTCAAGGACTTCGAACGTGTTCACGTCCCCATTTGAAGGTCACCGGGAGCAGGGGTTAACAATCTGGGCTGCGTGTGGAATCGCCCAACAATTTGTCCTACTGAAGCCAAGTCCCCACCCCAACCCTGGCCCATTGAGTCAGACTATCGGGGCGGGGCCCTCACAGCCAGTCAGTGGGGGCCCGGATTTATGTCATTGACTCTCATCACTCGTTGGCCATGTGTCCACTTTCCTTTCGTTCAGAAGCAGACAAGGAGCGTGAAGGGACCTACACCTGGCCCTTCCCATTCCAGCCCCACTCTGGGCAGGTCTAGGGAGACTCATGCAGGGCAAGCGGCTCTCTCCCGGGCCCCAGGGAGGGGCAGGGGCCACTGTGAAAGGCAGGGAGCAATCAAAAGAGAAATGAAAGGCCCATGGCATGTTGAACTTGCAGCTAAATTTAGAGCTGGAGTCAAGGTGGCTCCCAGGTCTGAAAGCACCAGCCCTGCGGGATGTTACCTCCCCCAGGCTCTCCTGGAAAACTGGGTCTTTTGGGAAAGAAAACCCACTCTGCGCGATGTTTCGGGGAGCGTTCCCGAGCGGGGCTGCCCTGCTCTGGGAAGGGGCTGCGTTTCTCTCCAGCCAGCTCCAGCGCACAGCTGGGATTCAGGGTCTCTTCCTAGTAACTGCAAACCCATCCACGGAAGGTGGCTCGCAGAACGAGAAACCGGGAGCGCAGGCCACTGGTGCGCAGGGCACGAAAGGAAGAGAGCGGGCTCTTGACTGAGGCTCCGTGAGCTGGCTGCCTCCACCGGCGGCTTCCCACGGCCCCAGGAGCCCGGGTGCGGGGACTGGGACTGACGCCGCAGACCTGTGAGCTGGGAGCCCGCTCTCAGCTGTGAGCCTGCGATGAGGACGTGCATCAGCTGCTCACTAGTAAAATGAAGAGCAACGCGGACACCTGTGCTGCTGCGGGACTCCTGGGGCCCGAGTGTCCCTCCCCGGGGCTGGGAGGGGCCTGTCGGCACAGGAAGCAGATTCAGAGACCAGCACCCTCAGCAGTGTTAGGGCGTGGGATCCAGGTGGCCCTGGCGGGGTTCTACAGGGGGGTCAGCCCGGTGTGTAACCAGCCAGGAAGGGCAGATTGGAATCTGCACGCCGCCCTAGGTAACCTTCTCGCAGCGGATGGATTGTTGACTTGATCAGCCACAAGGTTCAGAGAAAGCCCTGGGCTGGATGAGGGATCTGGGATTGAGACCGGTCTGGCAGTTTATGACTCTGGGCAACTGTACTTTCTTGGCTTTCTCCGTACGTGTTTCCTGCATACTCCCCATGGTGAGGCGCAGATTTGGGGGGAGGAGGGGTGTATGGGGGGCCTGGAGGTGGAAGGGCATGTCGGGATGTGGGCCCTGGCTGGAGGAAATCCGGAAAAGCTGTGGAAAAGGTAGATCACTAGAGGGGACCAGCTGCACAAGTGGGGCCAGGGTGTGGTCTCTCAGGTCCTCAGGTGACTCCCCAATTTCCCTCAGGTGGGCACTTCGGTTGCCAGAACGCCCCAGTGCACCTGAGCTGGGCAGTGCCGCAGGGAGGCTGGCCCTGTTACTAACGGAACAGGAGAGGAGTGGGGGGCTGGGCCCGGCAGTGGCCCCAATTGAGATCTCCTTTAGATAGTGACAGGGAGCAGGTATCTGAGAGCCCAGGGGTGGGAGCTCTGTGCAGGAGACGCAATCTCCCCAAGTTCAATGTCCGCCGGGTGCAGCGGAAGGAGCAGACTGGCCCCAGCCCCAGCTCCGCCACTTGCTAGCAGGAGCCGAGGTGCCTGCTGCTGGCATGAGGCTGCCTCGCTCGCCCTGCGACTTTTCTCACTTACAGACTCGCTGAAAGGGGGAGAAAAGCAACCCCAGCCCCTGGCCTTGTGCTTCCTTTCAGGAGCACCTGCAGGAGTTGCCATGGCAACGGGATGCAGCCTGCTCCTCTGTGCCCCAGGCTTATCAGCTCCTCACTGTCAGTTCATCAGTTCATCGTGGTGCTGCGGGGCGGAGAGTTTACCAGCAAAGGGTAATTGATGTGCAGGACTCCTGGTCCCAGGGGACCCCCGAGGGATGGAGGTCACCAGGATCAGTGCTGTTGCTCAGGCCCTCAGCTTACGGGGTGACCTTGCTGGTGGAGGGTGAGGGGGGGCAGCAGGTCCTGACCCTCTGTGGGCCTCCCTCGGGCAGGGTGCCCACTCCCTGGAGGCAGAGTGGCTGAGCTCGGCGCTGGCAGTGGGATTGTTCATACTCCTCTTCCTTCCAGCACTTCCCAGCCTTGGGTTCCCAAAACAGTTGTGAGGTGAATGCTGTTATCCCCATTTTACAGCTGAAGAGACAGGTGAGGACAGGTTCAGTGACAGACAGAGTCACCCCATGGAGGCAGCGAAGGTGGGCCTGGGCCTGTTCCATCCGATCCCTTCCTCCCTTCCACTGCCCCTCTGTCCTGCCCCTCCCCCTCGTGCTCATGGCTGTTCTCTGGCTCACCCGAGCGACACCTGCAGACCAACCCTTGCCTCCAGGGTAAAAAAAAATGGGCTTGACGCAGCTTCCTACGAATAGTCAGATATTTCCCTCCTGATGGAGCAAAGGACACTTATGCTTCTTAGCCAGTTCAGCTGGGGGCCTGGTTAGTGTCAGGAGACCCCTGGGAGGGGAGATCTGGGTGGTGCTGAGATGGGTGGACACGGAAGCAGAGGCGGGGGAGGTGCTTGGAATGGGTGCTGAGTGCAGGCGAGGCCTGGAGCCAGGGCGCACGGGGCCTGGCCTGTGGGGGCCAGTCTGTCTGGTTCAGAGGGGGGAGACTGAGGTTTCTGCTTCTGGTGAATTTTCATTCTTCACTCTACACCATGGGGGGAATCTTCTCCAGCGAACAGATTCAGCAAAGCCTCCTACGGGTCCTGGGCCCTGCTGATTGGACTTGAGATGGGTCTCTCATGACCACTTGGTCCTGGGCGGGGGCCGTGGGAAAGAAGGGGCTGACGTGAGGTGACTTTGCCCTCAGCTTCCATGTGGGAGGCAGAATTGAAACGGATTTTTTTGGGGGGTGAAAAAGACAGGTTTTAGGAAATTTTACAAATTAAGGGGACCATTAAGGAAGAGCAGAGCAGCAGAAGGTATATTTCCATAGAATAGGGAAGCTGCAACAGGTACATGTCCATAGAATGAGGGAGCTGGGAACAGCA